AGGGCACAGCAAACCTTCTCGTTTAAAGTCAGAACTGGTCTGCACCAGAGGAGGAAAACCCCTTCCGTCCTGAAGCACCCCCCAGGTGGTCTGGACCCAGCGCTTTCTGGCTTGGTCACAACCCTTGTGTCAGGTCTGCAATAAGTGTGAGCTGTGTTGCAGCAGCACACGGCTTGTTGAGACTAATAACAGATGGGGCATGCCGGCTCACACTGCCCTGGCCACCCAAAAACGAGCAAGAACCTTTGAAACCTGCTGTATACAGAGAGCTATAAACACATAAAAACTCATTTGCAAGCCTTGGATGGAGGATCAGTCGCCAGGGAGGTGGAAGACTTCTGTGCTGTTTCTCGCTGTTTTTTCCTCACTGGAGGCAGCCGGCAAAGGACAGGGAAACAATGGGAGATTAATGATTTTCCTGAAGCCAGGGGACGGGCAGACTTGTACAGCAAAGAGAGGGCTAGGAGGGCAGGGTCTCAGCCAGCAGAGCTGTGCTAGCCTGGGGCAATGCTGACAAGGAACTTGATTCTCACTCCTTGAAATAACAAATGCTGTGGGAAAAAGTGGCTTTATAGACTTTCTTCTGCTTCAGCTGCTAAAGTAGGAGCTCCAGAGAGAAATTCAGCTGCTCCTGAAACCAATGGATTAGCTCCCATGGAGGTCAGAGGAGGCAGGGTTTCATTCTGGTAAATAAGGCTGGCTGGATCACTATTAAATCTAGCACCCATAAGAAGTTTTATCTCAATAGAAGACCTAATGAAAATGCATGGCTATATGTAAACTATAAACTACCCCCTAAAGAAATGCTTTCCCAGACTTGTTTTTTTCAGGGGTACCCAGTAACCCTGACCCAACAAGCCAGACGGTATAGCTTGTCCAAAGGGAACAATGCTGAAAGGGGAGCAACAGCCGGGAGTTTCTCAGTACAGAGTTTTTCTATTGAAAAGCAATGAAGAGTGACCCTACTTCATGAGGCCAGCTCGTGCAAGGGGGCTCGTGCCACTTCCTGAAATCCAGCTGTCTCAAGCAGCATGACCCAAAATATAGGTATTCAAAATTAGAAGATAATTTTGATAGGTGGGCTAAAACTTCCATTTTGTTCAGCTGCCCTGCTGAGCTGGCCATGTGCTCCCTGGCTCCCTACATGCTTTAGCTGCACTGTGCGCCTCTTGAGCAAGCCGCTGCTGGAGATCAGTTCTGCTTTCTCCATCAGCACTACCAAAGAAAAAAGAGCAAAGGCTGAGAAAAGTCAGCATTTTCTGCTGGGAAATCAGAACTTCTGGTAAGGCAGAGGTGAAGTCATTGCCATCATGCAGTGCTGTGGAGAAGTTGGTATGGAAAAGGAAGGACACTGCCTTCCAGTCTGTGCTATGATAAATAAGAGGAGTCACCATTCAGTTATCAACTGATAGATATTGACACAACAAAATAAAGCAGCTTCTCAGGCTCCTTCCTCCACCTCTGAACCCGCAGCACATTCTTCCCCCTAGCAAAGCTGTTGTGTTCATTTGACAATACCAGGATTTGTTCCTGTTTTGCACTTATGTTGCTCTTACTCAGGCCCAAAGCTACACTCAGCTACTTCCCTACAAGTTGTTAGGACAGGGGTGCAGAAGGGGCCCTCAACACACAATCACCAAAGCAAGCCACACGACGCCAGTTACTCCATCCCATTAGCTAACACGAAGCGCAGGGACAAAGCCACCTCTCTTACCCTTCCCTCTGTCCTGTTCCTGGGTAGAGAAGAACAGCAGAAAGCATATCCTATTTCATGCCTCTGGCATGTGGATGTAAGAATGTTATTTTATAATAATCTTATTATTAAAGATCAGATGATGACAGCTGATGATAAGGCGCAATTCAGAGGAGCCCTGTCAGTGGACTCATTGTCAGCGCTGGCAGCTCTGCCCTGGTTAGATGAAGGCAGACCTGTACTCCCTCACTGGGGTCTCCAGAGGGACAACATGAGGTCACAGCAAGGCCACAGGCTCAACATTTGTCTAATAGCAACCCCAGCCTGGACTGTGAAACACAAAGGGCAGGGTTGTGGAGTATTTCAAAGTGCTAGAGCTGCTTTCCTCTGTGCAATAGAAAGCACATCCTTCCTCTCCTTCTTTCATTTAAAGAGTAAAACCTTTGTGGGTTTGAATTTTGTCCCTCCATTTGCCTCACTTTAAAAATCAAATCCCTTGCTCATAGGTAGCTTTATTTTAAATGGCTATTTTTCACATCAATGAGGATACTAAACATAATGGCCCCCTCCCTGATGGACAAATTATTGGCATCAGGCTTAAGGTTTTGAGCTCTTTAAAGCCATTTTGAGGGCTTTATAAAGGCCCTTAAGCTTTTTTGAGCTTTATAAAGGCCACCTGGGAGGGAGCTAGCCATGCAATACAAAGACAGTGAGATGCTAACAGACAGACCTGCCCTCCCAACTCATGCCTCTTCTAGAGCATCACTTGGAGGTTTTGCTATCTACAAAGCAAGCATAGGAGATAGTTCACTCCTGTGGTCTCACACCACCTAACATCCTCCTTGGTGCTGAGCACCATAATCTCACAGGTTCCGCAGTGCCCTTGTGAATAGCAACTTGGAATTATCAGCTAATCATCAACTTCAGTATGCCAACACGCAGGGTTTAGGGGGATCCCAAACATGCAACCCCTCCAGAGCCGGGCTGTCATCACTTTCAGTACCACAGTGAAGCTTCATCAGCTGTAGGTAGCTCTGGAATCAATATCTCAGTTATAATCACTCCATGCTTAGCTCTACCATGCAGAAGGTTTTGTGTGGCTACATGAGACATTAAGTTTTGAGCTCTATTTCACCAAAGCTCCCTCCTATCACAGTAGGTAAGCAGAGTAGCACATCACATACAGTAAAATGAGAGTAGGGGTGTAGTTAACCCAACCTCAAGTGTCATATGGAAGAAAGAGATTTATCCTCCTATCACTGATACACCAGAGAGGATGTACCTACTCTGCTGTGCTCTCAAGAGTTGTGTGCTTTGCCCTAAGTTAGATATTGTGCTATAGCTCACTTGACATCATGCGGGTCACTGCTGGGATGGAAAAGAATTGCAGCAGCAATCAGCTTTTATTTGGAATTGAAAATACAAGCATGTTGCCTATGTAAACAGAAAAAAATATATATAGACAAAGTGAGTGTGTGACAAAGGTAGTAACTTGCTGAGAGCCACACCTGGTGGTGATGTGTCAAGGGTATACCTTGGTCACCAGAGAACCTTAACCGGAAATCTCTGTGGCACAAAATATACCAAATGGTAGGTATTGCCTCCTTCATAATCATAAGGAAAAGCTGACCAGCAGCCCTACACACTGTGGAAGAGTCTCTAAAGGGAAGGGTGGGGAAGTACCTAATTTAAGAATAAATGGAGTCTTGCCTTGAAAAATGCATGGAAAGGGGACCCCGAGGAGAGGAAACCCCATCTCTACTGATGCAGCTGTCATGCCTCATGTGCCAGGATATCTCTGTGGAGACAGGCATTCATGTGATGCATAGAAACCAAGCTTGGGGAAGGCTTTGGAGACTCTTATCACTCTTCAGGCAGTCATTAACACTGAAATGTGAATGTGTTACAAAGAAGAAATGAAACAAAATCAAATCTGTGTCAGGAGATGATTTTACAGGGCTCCTGTTATGTCTGAACTTACCAAGCAAAGCCTTCATTTCCAATCTGATCCCAAAACCACCGAAGCCAAGCACAGCCTGTTTGCTGCTCCAGGAGGCTTTGGAGCAGGCCCTTTCTGAGACATGGAGGGAACACATTTTGGAAAGGAAAAGAAATATGCTATGTTAATTGGACAAAACCTTTACAGCACCTCTTAGAAATGGGCACTTTTACCTGCAAGCTGACAAAGAGCATTAGGTAATAGTTAAAAGACATTTCATTAAAAATTGAATCATTCATGCACTAGCAGAGCAGTTTTGTCTTTTCATTTCCCCTCAAACATTTTGTGCTGCACACACACTTTTGTACTCCTTATTTTTGTAAAATTAACTGCCAGATCAACTTCTAGCAGGAATCATGGGTGAGAAATACCAGAGTGAAAGGTGAAGCTGGAAGAAAGGCCTTTCCCCAGCAAAGAGCTGAGTTTTAGCTTTGACACAACAGAGCACTCAGATAAAACCACGAATTAAAGACAACAAGCACAAAAGGACTCAGATGCTGAAATGAGGCAGAGATGAAGATTATTATTTCTGTAGATTAAATTCAGACAACTCTGAACAGCTGGAGTGTTTCTACAGCACCTCTCCTGCTGTGATTTGTGCCTATTGAGGCCAAGACTGATGGCCACTGGGGTCACACACCCAGCCTGGCTGCCAGCAGAGCACAACATACCTTAGGCCACCCCTTGCTTGCGTGCCAGCCGAAGGGCAGGGACACACATACCTGCAACAGCCGGAGGTGGCTGTCATGGACCAGCCACCACAGCCCTAACTCCGCCAGCCCCAGCGGCGTGTTGACATGAAAACAGGGAGACAAGGGGGGTTAACATGCCTCTTCCAGCAGGCCTGCCTTCATCTGCTGCTTGGTGAGCCTTCTCTGTAGGCCAAACCTCTGGCTGCTTGTGCCCTGCTGCACCATGGAATGCAGCTGGAAGGGAGCAGAGTGTTTTTGGTGGTGAGTGGGGAGGACAAGCAAGTTCACCCCACAAAGCCAGGGCTAAGCCTACATGGGCTTCACTCTCAAGGAGACCGAACAAACCTCAGTCTCGCATCTCTTGCAGCACCCTGTACTATGCCATTCACGTGGGAAGTCTATTACATCCCTCCCTATGGGTTTCAGCAGTGTGCTGAGATAAAAAAGAAGTAATTATTAAATACTGTCCATTCTAGTATATTGCCACCCCAGACACGTTCCCCCTTGCCTCCCATGGGATGGCCGCACATCCAGAACAGGCCCTGCGTAGCTTTGTTCTCACACAGCACCCGAAGCTATGAGTGACTGGGGCTGAAAAGCACCAGCAACCTGCCCGAGGCCTCTTTGGGAACGGCTCGCTCCAGAGGCCTTTCCTCCCTCCAGCTGCAGCAGATCCTGGGGAGAAACCTCTTGGCGTGACCTTCAGGGGCCCTCCACCTGCCGCAGTGCCGGTATCCACCTCCTGCTGGGGCTGTTTGGGTCAGAGCCCTTCTCTCCCCTCACCCGGCTGTGGCAGGAAAGTTCAAGGTGTCCTGGCAGCAGGAAGCTCCTTTGCTCCACCCTCTGCCAGGCACACCAGCTCTCTGAGCATAGCGAGGACCTGCTGAACCAGAGCTGCCAGCGACAGCAGCCGGACCTGTGCTACCACCTGGGTGGGAGCTAGACCCCCGGCATGAAGCGCCTCTTCTGCGGGCCCTCGGCAGCCATCACTGTGCTCTTCTGCACCACCGTGCTCTGGTATTCCTGCTCAGCTGGTATGTGTCTTCTCTCATGATCCAGTTTCTATTCCCTGCCTTTTCTCCTGCTCCATACCAAAATATATTGCCCACTCTCAGAAATTTGTTCCTTTAAAAAAAGGTGGGCTCCCTTTTCTCATCTAAAAAGTGTTAAGAGCTGGAATTGACTAATGCCATTGAGAATTAGCAGCGATGTGATTGATCACAGCATCTTTCTGAAGAGATGTGCTTTTACCAGCTATTTACAGAGCCACTGTAAATGTGACTGAGCTCTAGGCTGCTCTACTGAATGGCAAGGAGGTAGGAAACCATGGTTACTTGGCCTTCCATACTGGCTGAGGCAAGGGACCATTTGGAGTACCACCCAGAAGGCTCAGTATAGTCCGGTTTAGCTCTTACTAGGTGCTTTTTTGTGGGAAATATGGCTTTGGTGCCTCCTTAATTGTAGAAGCTGCCTAAAAATAAAATGCAATTGAGACCTGTGAGCAGCTCCTTTCCCACCAGGCTCCTGCCTGCATTCTTGTATCAGCACCAGCTGAGACCTGCCAGGTTAAAGATGGGTTAGCTTTGACAGGTCTGCAGAGTCTATAAACACGATCCAGTGGCTGGCATCCACAGCTCACACACAGTTCTTAATGATTCTTTCTAGTGCTCCCATGAGGTACTTATTAACCAAGAAAACAAGTCATGGGCTTAGCCAAAGTAATTCAGCAAGTCCTAGCACAGTCAGAAAGAGGAATGGGGAGTACTCAGGCCCTTCCCTGGAGCAGGCTGCCCAGGGACCCTCTCCTAGTGTGTCAGCAGCCATAAGGAAAGCTCTGGTCTTGCTGCCTGCCTGTCAGATCAACATGCAAAGCTGGGCAACAGCCGGTGACCCTAAGAGGGGCATCACCTGCAGGACAACCTCAGTTTATTTGCTGTTACGTGGAAAATACCAAACTTAAAGCAGAAGTTTGCTAAGAGGTCTTGTTCTGTTTTGCTCTCCTGAGCTGAAACTAAACCCAAGCTGCTATTTCAAAGTCTTAACTGAAATCAGGCTGGAATTGATTTTTCTCACACTCCAAATTATCAGCTCAGAGGGATGGTTTGACTGGGAACAGCTCTCCCATAGCTTCTACTCTGTCTGTGGACAAGCAGCACGTTGGAGCCCTTCCATCTGTGTGCAAGTCCTTACTCCTGTAGCTTCTCCTGTATGTTGTATTTTCCAGCCTGCACTAGTTTTAATGCTGGCCTGAGCTGGAGCTCAGCCAGAACAGTTTCAGGCACAGCTGTGCCTTAACTGTGGCAAAGCCAAAGCTCCTCACCAAGGCTGTGGTGGCTCTGCTGGTGCTCTCCACAGATGGGCTCAGCCCTCAGCTCTGCCAGACTCCTTCACACCCTGAAGTTACTGGGAATTTTCTAAGGGCAGAAGGAGGTAGCTGTACAGCTCACTGGCCATGGGTCTCCCCATGCCACTGAATGCCGAATGCCCTCTCTCGTTTCAGTTGTTGCTCGATATGCCCCTGTAGCTTGGGAAAAGACAGTGAATAATTTGAGCTCTGAGAGAATGGCTCACATCAGGGTCATACTCAGGTAGAGGCACAGTGATTCAGTTGCTTGTTATGCCTGGTGCTAGAGCAGGTCGATCCAGAGCCTGTGTTCACAGTGGTGGGATGAGAAAGCATACCTTGCTGCAGCAATGTTTAGCAGAAGAACTTACTTTCTTCAAGTTGTTGCCATCCTACAGACCTCTGCAAGGCTTCTAGATTTTCAGGATCGATGTCCAGTATGGCTTTTTAAATGTAACTTGCCTTTTCTCTTGTGCTTTCCTTCTGGCAGCAGCTCAAGAGGTCTCCAATGCTTCAACAAGCTCAATGCTCACAACTGAGTATGAAACACCATGTCTTAGTAAGTATTTATAAATCATTACTACGATGTTAGAGTCAGGTGATGAAAGTACACAGGTGACTGAGAGACTGTCCTGGAAGAGGATTTATCTTTTGTAAAGCCTACCACTGTGGGTGAAACTCTAAGACACATTTCTAAGACTCCTCCACCGGCATGCCCGTAATACCTTACGTACCTTCAGGTGGACTCATAGCTTTGAACAGACTATTGCATAGCTAATTCAACTTATGTGTACTAAAGCTCCCTGCAAACTGCCTGCCTTTAGGCACAATACAGATTCTCAAGAGTGTTTCTTCCCCCCAACTACCAGGTCTTCCCCAAACAGCCAGTCCCAGACAACCTGAGAGCCAACCAGTCCTCCCTGAGTCATCCTCCATCCCAAATGTCAAACATCCCTGCAGTCCTGCACTTCCCAAATTATAGTATGCATACAAATAGACGTATGCTATTTCAAAGCATGGCATAGGGGGCAAGCATCTCTCTCCCTTCTCTAGGCCCACACAAACTGTATCTCTTTTGTTGCGGAAAGAGCTGCTCTCTACAGTGCAGGACAACTGTAACTGAGTGCTCTGAAAGCCAATGCACAGGAACATGGTCCTGCCTGATGTACATGAACTAGAGCACCCGAGCAGCACCTTCACTTTGCTTTTCCCTGGAAATGTACAAGAGGCTGCCTGCCCTGCATCATGCTCAGGAGGCATTCACTTTTCACAGCTGACAAGCTTTGTGCACAATACACAATGCACGTAGATGCGAGGTGGTTTTGGCTGCCTCAGTTCCCCTGTGTGCTGGGGTTTCACACTTAGCTTCTCTTCCAGCCCAAGGGGTACCATCGTCTTCTAGCCTTCCCTTGATATTTCCACGTTACCACCTGGGATACAGACACAAAGCTGGGTATCTTCACTGTGTCCTCATAATGGAAGAAGTAGGGCAGATACCTTTAAATATCAACACAAATTAAACAACTACTGACATATTCCTTGACTAACTTTAGGAAATTGGACTGATTTAAACAATCAAAAATAAAATGCAAAAGATGCAAGAAAAAATACATGGAATTGTTAAAAAATATTTCATTTTTAAACACATAAACCAGGGATCCCCAATGGCTCTGTGTTTTGCTGTTGTTACACACAAGTCACAGCTAACAGCCTAGCAGAGAGCAGCCACTGCTTCTATTGCTGGCAGAGGTGTTGGGTACCTAAACTCTTATTATCTCACATGAAGGTTTGTCTACCCTGGGTTTATTTTAAATTTTAACTAACTACTTCTATCCTATTCCATTCCTGAAACTGACTGAGGAGATGCTAAATAGGTGTTTTTAAAATGTAATGGTGGACAGAGTGGTGAAGAGAAGCAGCTCAGGTGTTTGGCCAGAAAGGGGTATTTGAGTCTCGGAGATGTGGAGATGAAACTGAATCTTGCCATCCCCTAGGTTAAGAGCCAGGCTTAGGGGAAAGCTGCCAAGGCAGAATGACAGGCCACAGTACAGACAGTAAAGTCACCATCTCACCTGCCTTCTAGCAAAGGAAACTTAGTGTGTACTTAGCCTCCCATCGGCTCACTTCATTTCTTCTCCACCAGACGTGAATATCTGCACGCAAGCAGCCCTGTGCTGCCCAACGGGCATGGATGATTATGGATGGATTGCAGCGGCCGTTGGCTGGAGTCTCTGGTTTCTGACTCTTATCCTGCTCTGTGTGGACAAGGTCATGAAACTCCGGCCTGATGAACCCAAATATTTGGTGGCCTGAAGCAGGGCAAGCCAGCAAGCAGCAGCACCTGGGAGCAGTGAGGTGCAGACAGACTGACAAAGCATTTCAATCACTTCTTAAGAAACAAAACAGAAATGGAATGTACCTGCTGCCAAAAAATGGCCAAATTTAATCAGGGCATCTGCTGGGGTTTCATCCTTCCTGGCAGGTCAGAGCTGCTGGCCAAGGTGTGGAGCAGGCACGTCCCTGTGAGCCACCACCTATGTCCCACATTGCACAGAAAACCTTGTCCCCAAGACCTTTCATGCTTGCTGTGATTTTGCCAGCAGAATGAGGTGCTGAAGGACCAGTTACTAGTCTACGGCATGTTGCCTTAAGACAACCCAGTACATAACCTTTGGCTTTGAAACAGAAAGTGGGCAAATAAAGCTATTTGCTGGAGGATCAGTTTTACCAGATCTGTTACTAAGCTACAGACCAGGTTGCTACATCAATAAGTCGATGTAACTCATTGATAATACCGAGTCCTTCTCGCTCACCTGCGCTATTTTAAAGTCTATTAACTGATACCAGTGAAAGCTCTGTTCTGGAAACTTCAGGATTGTTTGGGCTGTTTTGAAATTAAAATTAGTTTTTCTAGTGGAGTTCATATGTGCAGTTTTGTAGGAATTGAACAGTGGTTGTATTTGTTTGGCTTGTGCCTGCCTAACTAAACCAAGATGAACCATGACAAGCAGGTCTAAACCAGCATATCCAAATCATACACAAAACTATTCCTATTTACGCAAGATGATAATAAACACTCTGACTGATGGGAAGATTCTCACTGGTTTATATTGATAAAGCTTATATTGGCAAGGAAATACTCTACCCAAATTGTTAGAAACATGATTCTAACAAGAAATATTTGCGCAGGAGGATTTGGCTCTCTGCAGTCAAACTGGTTTGGGGCAGTTGCATCAGTTTGATTTCTATCCGTTATTAAAACAACAAATCTGTGTTAAACCCATCTAGATATACAAAGGATTAGCAAACCTGCTGGAGACAGACTGAAATTAAACACAGTTACTCTTTAATAAAATCAAGCTCTTTTGGAGATCCATTAAATATCATTAAAGCCTCCCTTCAGCTTATCAGTGTATAACTGTTCCAGTTGGAAAAGATACAAACCAGTTTAAGACTTCTCAAATTGGTTCTGGCACAACCAGGCACTTTGATCAGGGCAACTCTGCCATTTCAGAGTGATGGGCAGTCGTCTGCCATCAACAGGAATGGGTACAAGTTGGACACTGAGGAGAAGACTTCCTTCCCTATCATTAGTATCATTTAACACAAAGTCTTCTGCATTGAAATGCCCATCACTCTGAAATGGCACAGAGTTGTCCTGATCAAAGTGCCTACATCTTATTGTTGGTGTTGACTGAAAGAACAGTGAGTTCTACAATCACTGATATACAAGCAATCTTCTAGCTACATACAAGATTTTTTTCCTGATTTACTAGATTTAATCGTGGAAAATGTGCACTGGCCTGAAAGCATTGTGATACTGTGAAAAAAATCCATGCCTATTGCATTAGTGCCTACCTTCTGCAGACCTCTTCCTACAGTTTTCCAGTCTTACAGAGATTGTTCTCTTGGTTGGGAACACAGAAGCACCTGCTGGATATGGCACTGGCTTTCATCTTTGAGGAGATGTGTTTCATAGCTTTCACAATTCCTTGGCTAAGACTGTAAGTGTATGGATGCAGCCAGTCACAGAAGTATATCTATTTCGGTCTCAAGTGTTGTAAGCATGTGATGTCCTACAGCCCAGCACAACACCCACAAACAAGCTTCATAACAACTGGACAATTCTGGGGTCTTCCTAAAGCCTGCAAAATCAGGTATACAAATGCAGATCATTTCTGCTGTCAAATGTGTACTTTTTCTAGAGCAATGATCTGTAAACCTCTGATCTAATACAACCGTTTTCTTTCCTTAGTGCATCACACATATGATATTGCCAGGTTTGATCAATAGCTTCTCCTTTTCAAGTCATTTGACTTCATAGGAAGTGGACTGAATCATTTAGAAAAATGTAATCCTGTAATGAATTTTACGAACATAAATAAAATGTATTTTGGGACACACTGGGATCCCAGTGTGTTCAGGATCCCTAAACAAAGTGGCAGCATCTCAAAAGCTCCGAGGCTACCAATGTAAACATCTCATCTGTTCCTATGCAATTAAGTACAAAAATAAAAGATTATTTTAAAGAGACTCACTGAGGTACATACTATGTGTGGTACTGATTCTAGGCATGGTGGGCAATCACAAATACAATGCAAAGCAACACACCATGTAAAAGGAGAAAAGCCTGAACAGTATTGTCAGTGTTTCAGGAGGTTGTCAGTAGTTACAGAAAGTGTGGAATGAACAAGTTGCACCCAAAAGACTTGAGAAATTGATATACAATTATGATATGAAAAATTAGTGTGCCAAAATGGATTATACATACTTGATTAAATATAGTCTAAAGATTCTCTATTGTCTGCTGTTATATTTCCTGGAATGCTTTTAGTTAGGGAACACACAGTAGCACAGCTTGTGGGATATAACCACTGCCTTAAGACAAGTCACAGTAAAAGGCTGTGGTCTGGTTTTAACGTACAAATTGAATTACAACGCCTTATAAATGTGGTCTTTGAGCCATGTTATAGACTGGTGTACCCATTTATTGTGTATTATTTCACGTTCCTAATAACATCACTGACATTATAATACCTCCAATAATAGATCCCCAACTAATGTTATGTTGCCTAAGTCCTATTGACTTCTAGGAGGCTACACAAACATCCAATACGTGCCTTGCTTTGTTGTTTGGTCGTTGGTTTTTTTTTTTTGTTTGTAATTCAGGAAGCTTGTCTTTTTGTTCCCACAGGAAACCTTGCATTATTGATGTATCAGCTATGCTAAACCTTGGTGCCCCTTCAGACTGCAACATACTATGTCATGCTGTAGCACTGAACTGGTTTAGGCCCTTGTACACCTCAAAGCACGTAAAAACAAAGAAGATAGTTTGTATCACTTATTAAACTGCAAAGTACCTTCACAGAATGATGATAGAAGCATTAACGCTCCAGTCATTTATAGTACATTGTCTGTCTAGTCAAATTCTATGTCCTTGGATCAAAAAGTTCCTAACTGGAATGAGATGGAGAAGAAATCTATTCCAGCTCATATGATTTAGTACAAGGAAAAGTAAAAAATGGCTGAAACCTACATGGCTGAATAAAAATAAGGTGACTGAAAAACACGAGTTTGAGCCTTAACATTGCTGATCAAACCAGAACAGTTCTTCATGTTTTCTGGACAAAGTGTCTGAATTTCAGGCATGAAGGTACATAGTGCCTAGAAAGGAAAGGGAGATGCAGAAGGCACTTGGGAAAGCTGCTGATCTCGGATAGGCAAACAGAGCAGTAGGGATGTGTAATCACCATCAGCACTTCTAATACCAAAAGAGAAAAACATTAGCAGCAGCAGCACAGCATTCCAGGGTAAGTAATTTGCCTGGAGATAATATCTATCACATCTGAATAATGATTTTTAAAATTCTTAATTCAAGACTAAATGGATTGATACTTGATGCGTGACTCTTCATCTTTTTAGATACCATTGCTCTTGTAATGACTCACATTACTCACTGCCTTTATCCTTGGGGTTTTAATGAATGAGCTATATGTTAAAAAATTGCACTTTGCAATGATTACACTTTGCAAAATCACCACAGAGATGAAAACTGGCAAGCATTGGAGCTTCCCACTCACATGAAACACAGAAAAGACAGAGGTTAAATTCCTCAGAAAAGGTGCTCTGTACTGGGACTCTGTAGGAATTTTTTATAAAGGTATTATAAAAACTCAGATTTCAGGAAATTATAGTGATTAATTACAGCCAAATAATGAAATACAGGTATTCTTGGGAAGTAACCACCCTCTCCCATTCTTGTGCTCCAGATCCTGCTTATTTTGTGATACTGATGATACCAATATCTGTTGCAGAACTAAACCTTCCTGCAGGTTTCTGTCCCAGAATCAAACAAAGGGGTTATTTCCAACTCCCATTTCATAATAACCTTCCAGACATTAACACAGGGTAAACAATACAGTATTGTCTCCCAAGTCTGCAACAGGCTTGGGAAAAAATACAGGTCTAAGAGTCACAGACTTTTCCTGTCCAATTTGACGGTATGAAATTTAGACACATTCAGTTAACCATTTCGTGCCTATCAGAAATCATTAACAGTTTATGGGCCTTTATGCTTTGCAGACATAAACCACCCCCAGAATTGACTCTCCCTCCAAAAAGAAAGGCTCTCTACAGTCACAGGGGAAAAGTATCCAGTCTCAGTGAGCAGCAGATGAAGTGCTGTTCCAAACCCCACACTTGCTTGTCATGGTGCCCTTTGCTGCAAGAGCTAAAGAACTAAACTAATTGTGACTGTCTACATTTTCTCCCTCTGCTGTTACGTGTGGTGAAGTCATACCATCTGTCTGTAAACCTACTAGACACACATTTTGGGGACAGCATGAACTAAACACAATTCATGTCGTGTCAGTCCCAAATCCTGCCATTTCTCTCTTTCCAAAGGCCCCTACCAAGATTTGGTTTGCTACTTCAGGGAACCAAAGAGCCTGGGGCAATTTATTACCTAATAGATGAAGCTGTACACACCTTGCGTGTGCTGCTTCAACAGCAAGGTGGGATCAGAGGCCCCTCTAGTCCAGTTCTATCTCCCAACAGAAGGTGGTGTGGGAAGAAGATAAAAACCACGCTGCACACAGCAATCCTCCCTTCCCTTCCCCTCCTCTGCCTGCTCACAGGTGAAGTACAGCATCCTTCCGATACAGAACTGAGCTCTCTTCTAGCATTTCTCTGTGGCATTTTGAAAGGAATCCTTTGAGGACTGCAGATAGTCTCACACAAAAGTACCTTTCTATGACTTGCTTTTCAACTTTTCCCTTGTGATTTCAATCACTCCAGTTTCCCTCCACCCTTCTCTCTCCTATTGATCTTGTTTTCCATAAACTTCACATATTCACTACTGAGTTTGTGCACCAACTTAAACAGAGTGTGTCACCCTTCAACTATTTCAGGAGTGACTTTTCTTTTTAAAGACAAGCATATAGAAGACATTTCTCTAATCCCCAAGCCCTAGTTAAACTTTCTGCTACCTCTGTGCTCTTTGACCGCTGTATCTTCCAAAATATTTACTCATTTCAGCTTTATTTTTACTATTCGCTATTTATTCAATACCCTAGTTTTCTTCCCTTTATTCCCAGCTCATAACTATGCCCAATGTGGGTTGCAAAACCCCAAAAGCCCTGCCTCATCCTTTCCTTCTCTTCCCTTTCCAGTGGGGAACTGAAGATCAAATTGACCCTCAACTGATACTTCTTTTCTTGTGACTTCTCTTCAGTAAGTTCTTTTTATTAATACCCCATCAGTGGCTTTTCCCATCTCTTTATCTAATCATAAATACAAGTGGTGCCCACATACAGAGCTGCAGCTGGTGAGTCACTAGGAGAACCAGAACTACTTTTCCTAGTTCGTAACTTCTAGATTACATGATTAAACATGCAGCCAAATTAGTTTTTCAGTGTGACTTTCTGGAGCAAGAGCTACAGTACTTCTTTGGGCCCTCTACAGCTCTGTCTACTTTGTCTAAATGGAGGAAGAAAAGGGAGAGATCTGCAAAGCAGTTTCTGCCAGACTGTTTCCCCTTGGTGACATTCCAACATATCATATATTTAAACCAGATTAGCCCAACAACATTCAGTTCCAATGTGGCAACCATCTGGCCACAGATATATGAAGAAATCACCACGTGTTAGCCGAGCTATACTAAAGTCTCATACACATGTGCTAATGTTAGGTAAGAGATGTTGCTTCATTCCTAAATAAAGAGGACTAGTAATACTCATTAGCACTGGTGTTGAGCGCTGCTAAAGTGCACAAGCTGCAGGGAACAGTGCTGTCTGCTCCCAGGCAGAAGTGAGATTATTGTAGGCAATGTCGTGTCAGTGATGCTGTTTGCTGGAGGTGACAAACAACTTGTGTTAACTGCTTTGCAGTTCTACTCTGCAAAAGCAAGAATGTGCTTTCCAGCACTCTGTCAAATTATATTTCACTGACAGTGAAGTATAGGAGGATGCAGCAGTTATGTAAACACTTGACCGCACATCTACAAATCCTCTAAATAGGAGACTCCTTATCTTTAATCTTGAGTTTTTGAGGTGTTCTTGTGTAAAACTGCCATCATCAAGCCTGAAGACAGAAACCATCCTAAGGATCAAACTCATCTGTGGAAATGCTTGACAGGAAGTGTTCCATGTGAAATACGAGGCAGCTTACCCGAAACCATTTCATTCAGGACTGCATGGACTGACAGATCTGGTAATAGGTTTATGAGGTTGTGGATGCTTAGATCACCTGCACTCCATTATCATTTCATATTTGGTAACTACATTGAAGTATTACTAATATTGGCTAATCCACAGTCCTTCTCCCGTTTCCTTAAGCGTAAGGATAAAAGCTTCCTGCTTTTTTATTATTCCAGTATTTTAAAAATTCGTATTTCTTCAGCCAGGTTTCTTTCATATCTGAATTTCAGGACTGAAAGAGCACAGCACATTGCCAAATGTAACACTGCATTAATTTTCCTTGAATATAAAGAAGTTTTTCCTGAAACACAAACAACATCCAGCTACTGCTGGATCATGCACAGCACTAAAGTGTTCAAACAGCCTGGATGAGAAACCCAACTTCCAACCAGGAAGCCTTAGGACAGAAATCTTAGAGAAGTTTTCATGGAAACATGACAGAGCTCTTAAGAAGTGTGTACATTAGAATAGAATTGGAAATGCAAACCAAAAATTTTCATCTCTCAGTCTCTCTTCTACTCTCTTAATTCTGTTTCACTTCGCCTGCTCTACACATGGCAATAAGAGGATTAGAGTCATAGAATGGTTTGTGCTGGAAGGGACCTTAAAGCTCACCCAGTTCCAATACCCCTGCCATTGGCAGGGACACCTTCCACTAGGTCAGGTTGCTCCAAGCCCCATCCAACCTAGCCTCGAACACTGCCAGGGATGGGGCAGCCACAGCTTCTCTGGGCAACCTGTGCCAGGGCCTCAGCACCCTCCCATCAGGAAAGAATTTTTTCCTTATGTCTAATCAAAATCTTCCCTCTGCAAACCTGAAAACCACCACATCAGGGA